TCTGCATCTCTCAACACGGTCAGTAGTTTGTCCTGGAAGCTACAGTGATCTTTTAAGTAACATGAAGTTGTTTTAAGAATACTTCTGGATAGTATGCATGTCTGTAAACCAGCTTATATTGATGTTTCAGCTTACCTATGTTTCAAAGTCCAATTTAATAAATGTATATTTTTTCATAATTAAATTTCATATTTTACACTTACAGTTGTTCAGCATTTTAAATTAATTTTTTACATATTTTACTTATTGTGCAATTAGTGATGCATATAAGGTGAAATAGCTTCATGATTGCACTGTGCTGGAAAAATCTAGCATGTGCCAAAATACTAAACATCTTTGTTAACTATAGAAGTAAGAATTGTTTAACTAGTTTCAATACTGAATATAGAATGAAGGAGTTCTGTATGGATTCATTATGGAAACCTGTCCTGTTTATACTGTTTTTAGCATTTCCCTGTTCTTTCTGGGTGTCTTAAATTATAACAGTGTACATGTCATGTTCTAGTAGCTACGATATATGAAAATATGTACGTGTATTGTATTGAGAATTATTTTTACAAACCTTGTATTGTGAAGTAGATTATGTATAGATCATAAAAATGTATGCATGTTTATCTAAGTGGTAAGCACCAGAATATTGACTTGAAGAAAGATATTCTGGTAATTTTCGAAGCATAAACACGTGGGAGCGTTATCACAATCTCATAGCAGTGATGGCAAAAATAGGACAGTAAAAAAAGGCAAGACATGCCATAGACTGCAGCATCATAGAAAAGGAAAAGTCATCAGGACTTCAGCTCTTCTGTGTAGGCATTTAACCTGATGCACAGTGACCATTTTAATCTGCTTTGTAGTACTTTTGCTCCAGTTAAGGGTCGTAGTCTCAATGTCTGTGTGGAAAATCACCATACAGTGGTGCTAAGAGGACTGGAGGAGACTTGCAGCCTGTCTCAAGTTTAAATTTCTGGCTAAGATAAGTAATCCACAAACCTTAGTTACCTTCAAAGATCAGTTCCTCTTGTTCCAGAAAGGAATCCCTAATTGTTTTTCTGGTTCACTTACATAGAGATTAAAGGATGGTATGTTAGTGGAGGTACAAAATAGCCCATTTTCCTATCCATTGTAACTGTATATTCTGTGATCAGGTTTCTTATGTGTCATGGTGGCGCATTATCCCACAGAAAGTATTAGTAAACAGGAGTTATCGTAAATACAACAATACCTAATGATAAACATGAAGAGTTGCTGGACAACCCTACCAAATTAGAGCATGAAGTATTTTCTCTCTCTTGAACCCTCTAGATCAAGGTCAGATTGTGTAGGGAAGAGCCTGAGCCCTGGAACTAGTTGTAAATACAAAAGGAAATTCCCAAATTTGCTGGTGGCTTGCTCATTGCAGCCTAGACTAATGGCAGGTTTGACTCCTGGACATGGAGATGCTTAAGTTATCTCCACAGAAGGAAATATGTCTCTGAGTGTTCAAGTGACTGAAATGTCAGGTAGTGCTAGCTTAGGTGTGGTGCCACCAAAATGCATCTGTACAGCTTTTAGACTTAGTGTATCCTAATGTGGTGGTGCCTTTATGAATTGGCAAGCATGTACTTGCCATACACATAGGGTCTCTGCACTGTGCCACACCTGTAGGGATTTTTTCCATGAGGTAATGATCTTTATTGGCCTTTAAATCATTAAATTTAGATGTAAAAGAGTAAGAATTCAGAGTAAAAATGAGGCAAGATTTTTCTGCACTGGTAAAATTAACACCGGTCATGAGAAAATTCAAGCATCAGAAACAAAGTTTTTGATGAGTAGTGTTGTGATTGAAGTAATTTCAATATTGGGCAGTGCATAGGAAGTCCAATGAATAGTTCCAGGTTGTGGGAGAGAGGGAGCTGACAGAAACAAGAGTTCTTTGGAGCAAGAGATGGAAAGAAGTTGTTTGTTATACCTAAGGATTTCTTACTCATTTGAATGAGGGAAATTTAAATGTATTTAAGAGAGAAAATGTGAGAAATTAGGTAAAGAGGACAGGGAACTAGATCTAATTTAAAGCTTAAGGAGACAACTGGCCTGACATTTTACTTCTGTGCATTAGAAAGACATAATATAATTATTTTAGGACTTCAGTGAAATCTGAAATGTTTGTGTCCTTTTGGAATAAAATTATTTGTGGAGGAACTGTCTGTAATTACTTCATTTCTGTTACATCTTGACTCAGGAAAATAACTGATAAAGCTTAATTTAGGATACTAATAGTTAAGTCTTAAGCTATTTATTGGTTGAGTTGTTTTTTGTTTTTTTCCTGGAGTTCTGTAGCTTTGTTTTGACTTTTAAAAACTTGGTAGTAATTTTACTGGACTGTTTTCAGAGCCAGCTACTGTATTTTGTATCCATCAGCATCATTCCATTGGCTTGAGAGAAATTATAGTGCTTTACATAATCTGTTGACCTAGCCATTTTCTATTGAAAGCTTATAATCAGTGAAACAATAAAAGAGGAGAAATATGCATAAAAAATATTAAATGAAATTTTATTTGGTTGAAATGTTATATAATAATTTTGCTTGTATAGCATCAGTAAGTCCAAATATCAGGTCACTTGCCTAGAGAAATCTTCATTTGAAGACAGAGAAAATTCAGTTCCCTGCAAAGCCAGTCCAGAATCTACCTGTTCCGAGTCCACCATTTGTTCATAATTGATGATTATGGGGCTTCCTTTTTTAGATACTTTTACAGCAATGAGAATATTTCATGGGACACAGTTTTTTGGGTTAGAGAGAAAATAAATAAGCTGAATATAAGATGTGGGTATTTTTCCATGGTTTTAAAATATCTAAATAACAAATTTGCACCTGAAGTACAATGAAACCCAAACTTACTACCTCATAGTTAAAGGTCTTCTACTTGAAAGCTCAAAAGTTTCTTTACTGTAACTAGAACTTGGTGGAGAATTCTCTCTAGGAGTCTGCCTTACACTGATGCAGTAGCAGGAATAGGCACTTAATTATTGCTTGGTTTAATTGAAGAGTTAGGATATTGATTTCTTTAGTTTTTTGTGGGATATCACATGCCTTTTTCTACCCTCATTAATGGAAGTATTACTGAACTGTAGCAAAATGAGAACAGAGGAAGGATCTATTTTCTTGTTAAAAGGAGTTTGGCAGATTATTTTTTTTATCTAAAGATAAATTCTGCTTTTTAAAAAAAGATCCAAACCCCAAAAATCTATCCATCCTGTTTAATGTAGGAAGTTTTTTCCCTGGTTATATTAATTTATATAATAAATGCAATATTAAGGTCTATCTTTGCCAAACACTGAGCTTCTCCAAAGTGCTCTCTGGAATTTGTACCTGTTTAAGTCAAGACAAATTTGTTTCTAGATGATGGAGATACTTCCTATTTGAAATAAATTTCCTAATGCATAACTATGTTATTGAAGAAAGAATTTTAAGACCTAAAATCCTTTTACTACTGTAATTCACATTTTTTTCAAAATGTAACACAAGAGCTATAATTACTAGTTCATTTATTTATATACAAGGTTGAGGCATTATCCCTGTTCCTTTCCCAAGCTTATTTGAAATGTTCATATAACAAAATTACAACTTAGTGAATTAGAGAGTTATTCTCTAAAGGGGTAGAGTAAAAAGATGAATATGATATTAATAAAGACAAGAGAGAATAGAAAAGACAAAGTGGAAGTAATGAGTAAAGAAAGGAGAAATAAAGACAGAACCTTTGGTTTTGCCACTTCTTCAAGTAATCCTTGGATATATTGGTGTGGTGGGGCTTGCAGTCAGACACAGGTGTATTCTAGTTGCAATTTTTAAGTGTCTGTATATGATCCTTCTGTTAAATAGAAGTTGCATAGCAGTACTAGGCCTGAAAAAATATAGCTGAGGATTACCTAAATTGGTTATATTTTTTCAAATGTTCCAGACAGTTTTATTTTAAGCTTTTTAAATCAGTGTATTTCTCAGAGCTAATTTTGTGATAAATAATAAGCTTTAAGCCAACAATCTCCAAATCTGTTCCTTCCTTCCTTCCCAATATAATACTCCCAAAACTTAAATTTGCCCTAAATATTTTCAAATAATGTTGTTTCTTTGCTAGAATACAGATAGCTGTCTCAGTAATTGATTTGATCTGTGTAGATGGATAGTTTACTATGTAATGAGTGTACTTAAGGTAACACAGTGAATTTGCACTCCAAGCAGACATGCTCCTGCTGTGTGCTGGCCCACAGGTGAGTATGAAGGATATGTGGGATAATCACATTGAGATTAATTAACTCTTCTTCTCATGTCAATTTTTTAACATAGTTTGAAAACTAGTTTAAAAAGTCATTTTTTAAATGAATGCAAATCAAATTAAATGCTTCTCTAATATCATGAGTTATCCAGTATTCTAAGTCATGGAATTTACATGACAGATTTCTTAGTCCAGCTTTGAAATGGGTATACACACTCCTATTGAGATATTAGGTGAATGTAGGGAAGATGATTATAGATCATCACCTGCTGCATCAATTGCATTATTGCATCTTTTGGTAGTTAGGCTTACAGATACATGGTTCTTGCTATTTTCAGGCTATCAAAAAGTGCAGTGTGAAAACCAAAGTTACTGTAACAGGAATCAATTATGTAATCCAAATTAAATGTACATACTCTATTCATGTGTATCAATGAATTTTATATTTATATATCAAAATAAACAGTGGTAGAAATTACAAACTGTGAATTCTTGTTTTCCAATTCAGGTCAAGAAATGAAGAACTGAATTTCAGTTTCCATATACAAAATAGTATTATGTAGATACTTGCATTATTCTGTCTTATCTTAGTTATAAATAGTGGTTTAAAATCTTTGTATGAAGAGCCATGAGTGGTTTATAATTCTCCATATTGTGTGTGTCTCTGTTTTTAAGGCATTTGAAATCTTCTAGTATTATCTGAAATAACCATTTCTTGCTATATCTGACAGGATTCATATTCTCTTTCAGGAGACGCTGATAGATTGGTGTGATGAAAAGGAACTTAATTTGATTTTAACAACTGGAGGAACAGGGTTTGCACCACGAGATGTCACTCCAGAGGTGAGATAGTCCTGGAATAGAAAAATCTGCCATTTGGTGTAAAAATGCATGAGTCTGGCAGGGGGAGGGGGGGGTGGTGTGATTTTTTTTGTTTGTTTGTTTTAAATTTCCTCTGTAACTTTACTTTGCAGTACACAACCTGGAATCAGAAAAAAGTAATAGAAAATATAGCACAAGAGAATGACTCTGACCTTGTGTTCTGACCCAAAACGATTTTTAAACTAGAATGTAGTATAGTATAATGGTTTTCCAGTCCTCTCACTAAACAAAATTTTAATGGCTTTGTGGTGTAATTTTCCTTAGCACTGCAGTGCAACACTGCTAAGCAAAATCTTGTGTGGCTTTTGTTGTGTCTTGTGCAAGGAAGAGTGGGAAAAGAGAGATGGATCTACTTGTCAGAAAAATCTAAACAGGCACAGAGGTGGAGGTAACCTGCATCACTAAATGTTGCTCAGGAAAATTGTTTACATTACACTTATCTGAAGCTAAAGTAAGGAAGGATAAATGAGAAGCTTAACCTAATGACCTCATGGCCATGAGTTATGTGAAATGACTGTGTGATTGTTCTTGAAGTATTTTGTTATTTATGGTTCCACATTAGATTAACATGAACTTTTAAAATCCCGTATTTTATTTGCTGTGATTATGTTCACTAAAGGGAAGAATTAAGATTGAATGAGCTGTGTTTATTAGCATCATTAAACATACCTAGATTTCTCTTAAGTACTTATGTATGTTTTCAATTTCTTAGACTCTTAAGTTGATTTGAGTTCTTTATAGCATATCTACAAAGCTTTTTACTTACAAATGTTATGTTGCATGCCTGAAGTTCAACATTTTTTTACGTTAGGGATCTACAAACATTTTTTAATTTATTGTATAACATTTGTGTAACTAGAGAAACAAGTAAACAAAAATGCTCCTGTTCATTACGGAACTAAAAACCTTGAGTAACTAAAACTTGGGGTGGGGGGGGGGGGGGGGAAGTGTGTATATCAGGAAATTGAATCAATGTTCAGATGAACACAGTGTGGTACCTAGAGAAACCAAGTTTGTGGATTATTCACTTTGCTAAACCCACCACAAGTGAAACGTGAATTGGTTAGATTTGTCTCTTGCTTGCAAACTAACATAATGCTTTTGAAGGTTGTGTAACCTGGACTGTGTAGAGGGAGGGATGGATTTCTGCTTCAGTTTTCCTTTGTGCAGGGTCAAGCCTAGGCAGCAGTACCCGATGAAGCATTGCAGCCAGTGCAAAAAATTAGCTACAGATTCTCAAGCAGCATTTGGGACAAAAAAATAAACAAATGAGAACTCTGCACACAAACACCTAGTATGTTCTTTACACTGCTCTCACTGCTGTTTCTTTACATTGCTGTTACTCAAACGAATAACACAGGAAGGGATGATTTTTCTCATCAGTTTTGTTGAGTAAGCCATTTTGAAAGTTACCTGAGTTGTTATTGTGTCTCTGTATAATAAAACCACATTGATATAAAAATCATTAATAACTTGTACTGAAGAAAAACTGCATTGTTTTTAAACATAATAGATGACTTGGACTGATCATAACAGAACCAAGTGTTCTGACTGTCAAATTATTCCCATATTTAAAAAGAACTCTACATAGAAGAGTCTTTACTCACTTTTCACTTAATTAAGTTCTGACTGTCAAATTATTCCCATATTTAAAAAGAACTTACACAGGAGAGTCTTTACTCACTTTTCTCTTAATTAAGTTAGATTAACTTTAATCACAGTAGAGATATAGAATCCCAGGTTTATTACAAAGTGGTGATGACAACCATTGTTCCTATGATAGGATTTATTACATCATTCAGTTGAACAAATGATTTTAAGAGAAGAAAATCATTTGCCTGTATTTGTCATACCAAAAACATACTAAGAATCCTAAGGTTTGTCCCCATATTTTTTGTCTTTTGGTCAATGAGAAAACCCAAAATGGAAAATTCATTATGTCAACATAAAATGTGCAACAACAAGCTTTTAGGAAGACTTGCATTGATGTAGAAAGTGGTTTTCACCCCTTGTGTTTATGGTGTTGGTTCAGCACGCTCTCATCACTGAGCTGACAATGAAAGGATGCGATCATGGTATTGTGCTAGGGAGATGTCATCTTTAAGATGTTAATTTAAAACTTTTTAAGAATTGAATTTGATAATGGAAAATGTTTTACTATTTTCCTTAGCACAGAGACAGAAGTCTGTTGAATCATACTTCCGCTGGTGTGTTTCAGTCCTGCTTCTCCTTAATTCCCCTGTACTTTGGATTAGAAAGCAGGTTTCTCTGTTTCTTTTCTATAGATATATAATTGTACAAACACAATAAGGGTAGTTCCCAAGAATAATTGCAACCCAAAGATTTAATTGTATTTTTATCAATTTTGAATTGATAAAACTGAAATTAAGTGGCCTAGCATAATGTAGCTAAAAATGGCTACTTGATACCTCAGAAATATGTAATTAAGCATCCCAAAATAGTAGTTTCCTCACTCACTTTGCCTTTTGAACACTATATCAGAACCATTCCAGGTTATTGCAGTTGTTTCAGTGATGCGTAATAACATTTTTGCTTGTAATGGAATAGAAGATTTTAGGATTATTCACAATATCTGATTTTCTTGCCTCTCGTCCCTAAATTTATAGCCTCAGTCTAATCAGTGTGTCGAGAGGAGCTTTTGAATTAGTTCCTAGGATTCACATTTTGAAGGGCAAAGGTCAATTTACTTAGGCAGTGTGAATATCCTTCAGTTTCTTGCCTACACAACTAGAAGTGATGAAATGCATGTGGATATTTAAAAAACCAAATTCACTCAGTGGATGGCTGGAGCAAGTATGTTATAGGCATTACTAGTGAATGCTGGAATTCTTAACTGTTATGGCAGTTGGGGGTAGCTGGAATTTGTACTAAAGCTGAAGTGTAAGCCTAGTTTTGGAGATACAACGACTTTTTTTTTACAATGTAATTTCACACATAATTTATGGGAATAGTCTTTAAATCTCTGCTGGAGTTTGCTCATACAGTCTGCTTGTTGATATAAAAAGTGTTTGCTGCTGAACAGAGATCCAAGTATGCCCAAAGTTTATTTAGGGAACTTTCGTTTTGTATTTGTACACGCAAACATTTATTTCTTGGAACTACAATACTTCAGTAGTAGTTCTAATAGAATGTTGATAACAGTATGCATTAACTTCTGTGAAAAAAATTAAATAATGTTGCAGCATATTTATCAATCACTTAAATACATTAATATTGCAGAATCCTTCTGCAATATTAATGTATTTTCTCTGTTGCTGTTTCTCAGTGCAAACTGAAAGAAAAAATCTCATGTATATGGGTTCTCTGCTCAGTCTTTTTCTGTATTTTTATATTTATTCTTTTCAAATTTGTGCTTTCAAAAAATTCACTTTTCTGTCTCCTAATAGTCTCCTAGCTGTTTTCTTATCCTTTGTCTCTAATATGATTCTGTGTGAATCTTGTTTGCCCATCTATGAGACTTATTTTATGTGCTTAGATAATAACGGTGGAAATCAATGTATTGTCCTCAACTGATGATAGACATTCTTGAACTGTGTCACAATGTGTATTCACAAGTAGTTCATCCACACTGCAGGTAATTTTGAGCCCTAAGATTTTAAGATAATACTTAATAAAAAACACAGAAGATCTGTTTTCCAGCAAGTAACACCAGACAGATGTTTCCTTACAGTCATTTCAAGTGTTCTGGAAAGTTTCTGAATCTCCTTTTAGTTCTTGCTGTTTATATTCTTCAATATTTATGGACTGGTTTAAAATTTATTTAGGCACATAATTGTTTTCATTTAGTCTGAAAATATATGGACATTTATTTATTCTTTCATCAGCGTTCTGTAAGAACTCATGAAAAGAAATCATCGTTATCCAGAACTCCCTTCTATTCGTCAATGTTTCTGAAAATTCATGCTCAGGATGAACAAAATACTCCAAACATACCACACAGAAGCCATGTTTGGATAGAAGAAAGTCTCAGTTCTTCTGTAGTATGTCTTTTTATATTCAGTTCAAAGTTGCACCAGCATTTTTATAATTATTGCCAATTGCGAATTTTCTAACATCCGGCTCTTCCCTATTCTCCAAGGTTTTTTTTTTTTTCATGGATTTTTTTCTTCAAATTACATTTTACTTCTGCAGACTATTTTAATATCTATATTCTTCCATTTCTCTGTCTCAAGTGATGTTGGAAACCCTCTTGATCTCTATTATTTTCAGGTTTTATGTGGTTTTTTTTCTATTTGTTTGCTTCCACTTGAACCTTATTAATGAAATGAGATGCTTATGACACAATAGGATAGTCATGTTGCATCCATACTCTCACAGCAACACATTCCATCAAAATAACACAAATCCACTGAGACTTAATCTTTACAAATAACAATTTCTATTTAATAGGCAGCAACTTAACTAGAAATAATGTATAGGAGGTTTTTGTCCTCCTTGGTTCAAATACTGCCTTTCTAGAGCAGCAGGATTTCTAGTATTGTTTGTTGTAGATATAGGACTACTTCTGTTCTTCCTCAGCAATACTTTATTACTGGCACTGGACCAAAAGAAAATAATTTCCATTTTACAAACTTTCACTTCAGGATGGCTCCATAGTGTGGATGAATGAAGCCTTCATCTCACATGGAACATAAGTAATTTTGTGGTAGGAATAATATGAAATTGTACAACCTCTAATAATCCAGGCTAATGTTTCAGTTTTTCACACTTCAATATTCCAGGTACCCTCAAATTTAATATCTGTTTAAGAAAATATTTTTGTAGTCTCTTTTAAAACTGTAGCTTTTCATATCTATTAATGGAGGTCTTGCTCCGAGTTAGGTTTGATTTCTGTGGTGAGCTATTTTGTAACTGTATGTGCTGTGTATACATGACATCTGACTCTGTAACTTGCCATCAGACTTTTGAGGCCTTCATAGTTCTTAGAAAATTGTTTCCAT